TAACAAGTCCAGAGTGAACTTTCTTTGACAGAGAACCAAACCAGCTGCCTCACGAAGAACCTCCATACCAAGAAAAAAATATAATTCTCCGAGATCCTTTATTTTGAACTCGTGATCTAGAAATGACTTTAAAGTATGTAGTTCATCGACATCATTTCCTGTTAATAGAATGTCGTCTACGTAAACAGCCACAATAGATATAGAAGATCCCGACCTTTTGAAAAATAGAGAATAATCATTCAGTGAGTGAGAAAATCCCTTGAAATTCAGGGCTGCTGTAAGTCGTGCATACCATTGTCTGGATGCTTGACGAAGCCCATAAATAGATTTCCTTAATCTACACACATGTGTAGGTGAAGGGGGTGTAACACCTGCTGGGAACTTCATATAAACTTCCTCATTCAAATTCCCATGTAAAAAGGCGTTGTTCACATCTAATTGATATATTCTCCAACCTTTCTTGGCTGCTATAGAAAGAATGCACCTGATGGTTGTCATTTTAACCACGGGGGAAAATGTTTCTGTGAAATCTATCCCTTCTTGTTGTATGTCACCCCTAATCACCAATCTTGCTTTCAACCTTTCTATACTCCCATCAGAGTGTTGTTTCACTTTGTATACCCACTTACAAGGCAAAGCCTTTCTTCCAGGAGGTAGTTCTACAACTTCCCATGTTTGATTGAACTCAAGTGCTGCAATTTCTTTTGCCATAGCCTCCTGCCAACCAGGATGGAGTGCTGCCTGTGTATAGCTACTAGGTTCTTGAATATTAGATAAGGAGTTAAGTAGATGTTGGTTTGTGGTAGAAAGACCATGAAAAGGGAAAGAAGACGGTGAAACAGGTGAGAGGAAACAAGGTGTGCTAACGTCAGTAAGTTGAATAGCATTACATATGTAATCTTTCAAATAAGAAGGTGCATTGTGTGGTCTAGAAGACCTTCTAATTAAAAGGTCCATCATAGGTTCAGGATTAGTAGGTGAACAAACAGGAATGTGGACTGGTGGTGTAACAGGAGTGCTCATGTGAGGACTAGTTGTAGAAATAGTGGGTGAAGTGTTAAGGATATGATCAGTAGAATGAATAGGTGAAGGTGAAAACTGTTCTGAATTTTTAGGAAAATCTGAAGGAGCAGAATCAGAATCAGTAGAAGAGGGCACATTTATAGGTAATGTAGAATGTATTGGAGACTCAGTAGATGAGGTGACAGACTTAGAAAATTGTTCAGAACCAAAAGGAAAGAAAGTATTTCCTGCATCAGTTATTTTCAGAGAAGCAAAAGGAAAGAAAGTTTCATGAAAAACTACATCCATTGAGACAAAATATTTCATTGTTTTTAGATTCAACACCTTATAACCCTTCTTTCCATGTGGATAACCTAGGAACACACAAGGAACTGCCCTTGGTTCAAACTTTGTTCCATGATTTGATAAAGTGGAAGCAAAACATAGGCAACCAAAACACCTTAGGTTGTGATAATTTGGCTTGGTTTTGAAAAGTAGCTCATAGGGAGTCTTGTAGTTGATGACTTTGGAAGGATATCTGTTGATTAGATAAGTTGCTGTCAATAAACAATCTCCCCAGAAAGTGATTGGTAAATGTGACTGAAAAAGTAATGCCCTAGATGTTTCTAATAAATGCTTGTGTTTCCTCTCCACAACTCCATTTTGTTGTGGAGTTGCTACACAAGTGGTTTGATGAATTATACCTTGGGAAAGAAGAAACTCTGAATATGTTTTTCCACTTCCTAACTCAAAAGCATTATCTGATCTTATGATTTGAACCTTTGTGTGAAATTGTCTTTCTACCATTGCTAGAAAAGACTTCAAAATAGGAAAGTCATTTGATTTAGCACTGAGTAAATAGGTCCAGGTTCCCCTACTAAAATCATCTACAATAGTAAGAAAGTATCTAAAACCATCATAAGTAGGGCTCTTATATGGTCCCTAAGTATCCACATGAATTAATTCAAACACAGATTTAGTTGAAATAGAACTTAAGGGATAAGGTAATTTTGATTGTCTTGCCATTGGACAGATAATGCAAGGATCAGTAGACTTTGAACAAGAAGAAACATGAATACTTGATATATTTCTCATACTGCTTAATGGCATATGGCCTAACCTATAGTGCCATAATCTACCTTTTACATTTGAATTGGAAAAACTGAAACAAGAATTAAACTTAGGAACACATGCTGCCCTAATTTTGGAAACTGAAAAACTATTGGACTTAAGAAAACTCTTGGAAGTAGGTGCTGGAACTTTTGGCTTGATGATGTAGAGGCCTCCTTTCTCCTTACCAATCTCCAGAGGGCTCTTCAGTGAAGGGCCCTGCAGTAGAAAACAAGAAGTAGGAGTGAAAAGCACATATTGTTTGAGATATTTGCACAACTTATGTACAGACATTAGATTAAATTTAAAGGAAGGAATATAAAGAACATTCTGTAATACTAAGTTAGGAAAAATTGAAACAAAACCAGAATGTGTTACTTTGACTCTATGAGAATTAGGCAGAGTGACCATCACAGGCTGAGGCAGAGGTTTGAAATCACAAAGAAATTCTTTGTTGAAGGTCATGTGCTCAGATGCACCACTGTCCATTATCCAAGATTTTTTATCTATTTGCACAAAACAAGCATATGAGTTAAAGAATTTAGGTATACCAGCACAGTTCACACTTGCACATGCATCAGGAATAGAAGCATTTTGTTGTCCCATGTTGACTTGCTGAAGGAGCTGCAATAGCTGAGTCACATTTTCCTTAGTAAGTGTCTGCATATCTGGACCATCCATGGTTCCTTGCTTATTGGTTTGTCCTGAACTGAAAACATTGCTTGCTTGTGCTGTACCTTGAAATTTCTTCTGTTTTGTGAACTTGAAATCTGCAGGAAAATCATGAATCCTATAGCACTTTTCAATGCTGTGTCCTGGCTTCTTGCAGTAATTACATATGCTGGAAACCTTCTTTCCCTCAAAACCTCCTTTCTGACCCTTGTAATCAGTGTATTTCTTCACCCCTCTTGAATGATTAGCTGCAATGAAAGATGCAGCATCTCCTGGATAGACAGGTGTGGCATGAATTTTCCTCTGTTTTTCATCTTGGATAACCAAGGAATATGCTTGTCCAATCGAAGGAAGGGGAGAGGACAGAAGGATATTACTCCTTACTCCTATGAAGGTGTCATTTAGACCCATTAAGAACTGAAGCAACCTTTCATCTTGATGAGCCTTAAAATTCTTTGTCTTAGCACCACATTGACACTCACAAACACAAGCAGAAAAAGTATTTAGTGCATCTAGTTCATCCCATAGGCTTTTCATCTTTGTGAAATAACCTGATACACTGGAATTTCCTTGCACAACAGCACTTAATTCCTTTTGTAATTGAAATAATTTTGCTCTATTTGTCTAACCAAATCTGTCTTCCAGGTCACTCCAAAGATCCTTTGCACTTTGTGAGTACAAAACACTCTCTGCTATTTCCTTGGAGAGTGAGTTGAGAAGCCAAGAAAGGACCATGTCATTGCAACGAGCCCAGACCCTTTGAAGACCAGATTCAACACTAGGAACAACTAAGGATCCATCAATGAATCCTAGTTTGTTCTTAGCTGAAAGAGCTATGACCACAGCTCTTCTCCAACCTCCATATCCTCTCCCATCGAAGACTGAAGAAACGAGGTTCATCCCTGGGTAATCTGAGGGATGGAGATAGTATGGTTGACCAGAATCAACTACTCCAGAGGTAGTAGAACCTGCTGCAACTGATACAGTAGCAGTGGAAGAAGCAGAATTAACTGCATAAGTGGTTTGACCTTCAGTAGCCATTATAATATCGAACAGCTAGATTTGAAGAATTTTGATTTGTAAAAGATGAGCTAAGAAAAGAGAATATTAGAGCAGATCAGACCTGCTCTGATACCATGTCAGATTTGAAGAAAGAAGAACGAGTATAAAAGAAATTTTCTGTATTGAATGAATGAATTTTTCATCTGTACAGTGTATGTATTTATCAAAGAGAAAAGGAATCTATGTATAACTAACCTATCCAGCTGTCATCATTCTATTTGTTCTGTTGTAACAAACTATCAGATATTTACACAGAATTTACAGCTAATAAATATCATTAAATACACTTGTTGGATCAGGCCAAAATGTAGAGTCTTGAACCAGGCCCAAAACGTGTAGAGCCCAATGGTGAGTCCAGTCAGCTTCATTGTTAGCCCAAAATCAGCCCAAGAATTGTCTTTGATATATGTCTGAACTAAGACCAACATCCGATATTAGAAGAACTATCCATCTACCCCATCTGCCATTGTAGGAACTTTGAGAAAATCACCACCATTTCCAACACCCCTCCTCAAGTTGGAGGGGATGAAAGAACACCCAACTTGCCCAATAAATTGTGATGAGAAGGGCCAGCTAATGGTTTAGTGAACAAATCTGCCAGCTGAGAAGAAGATCGAACGAAAGAAAGAGAAATCAAGCCGGCCAGAAATTGCTGTCTCACGAAATGACAATCGATTTCCACGTGTTTAGTTCGCTCATGGAAGACCGGATTTTTCGCGATATGGATTGCTGCTTGGCTATCAGAATGAAGGGGTACTGGTAGAGAAATGGGTATAGACAGATCTTCAAAAAGTCGTACTAACCAAGTCAATTCTGCCACTGCACGGCGCATAGAACGATATTCTGCTTCTGCTGAGCTGAGAGAGATGGAGGTCTGCTTTTTTGACTTCCATGAAATTGGAGATCCGCCAAGTGAAATGAAGAAACCACTCACTGACTTTCGAGTATCTGGACAAGTACCCCAATCTGAGTCGCAAAAGGCAATGAGTTGAAACGAGGGAGAAGCTGTCATAAAAAGCCCCAAACCTGGGTCTTTTAACAAATATCGGAGAACTCGAAGAGCGGCATGCAAATGGGGCTTTCTTGGATCCTGCATGTATTGACTCAAATGCTGGACTGCAAAGGAAAGATCTGGACGGGTATGAGTTAGGTAGTTCAATTTACCCAAAAGATGCCGATATAGAGTTGGAAGGAAGAGGCTCCCCTGTTTTGGCGAGCAATTTGACGGTGGGATCAAGAGGAGAAGAAACAGGGGAGTAATGTAGAGAATCAAACTCTTTTAACAAGTCCAGAGTGAACTTTCTTTGACAGAGAACCAAACCAGCTGCCTCACGAAGAACCTCCATACCAAGAAAAAAATATAATTCTCCGAGATCCTTTATTTTGAACTCGTGATCTAGAAATGACTTTAAAGTATGTAGTTCATCGACATCATTTCCTGTTAATAGAATGTCGTCTACGTAAACAGCCACAATAGATATAGAAGATCCCGACCTTTTGAAAAATAGAGAATAATCATTCAGTGAGTGAGAAAATCCCTTGAAATTCAGGGCTGTTGTAAGTCGTGCATACCATTGTCTGGATGCTTGACGAAGCCCATAAATAGATTTCCTTAATCTACACACATGTGTAGGTGAAGGGGGTGTAACACCTGCTGGGAACTT